ACGTTGTTATCGTTCTCCATATAGGACAAATGGTGCTTTATCGATTTTAAATCAAACAATTGATGATTTAATTCAAATACATGATTTTATTGATTCAAAAAGAAAAGAATGGCTTGAACAATTAAAAAAAATTATTGAACAAGCAAGAGATAAACAAGTAGTTTTTTTCTTTTTTTTTCTTTATTATTTATTTATTTATTTCTACTAAAAGTCAACTATTCGTCAAACAATGACTGAACTTCGAGATAATTATGAAAAAGCTCAACGAAAATTAGAAACAGCTGACGCCAATTTAAAAAAGTTTGTTTTATATTTATTTTTTTTTTTTTTTTGAATAAAAAAAAAGTTGTTTATTATTTATTTTTGTTAAGATTTCAAAGTCGATCTGATCGTTTAACATTGGCAAATTTTGATGAACGTTTACGTGAATTAGAAGATATTCGTACAGAATGTGAACAAGCTCGAACATTATCACGTGATATATATTCAACAGAAACATATAAAGTTTCAAGTGAAGAACATTCAATAACAGTTAAACTTTTTTATCAATATTTATATGAAGAAAATCAATTTTATAATGATGTATCGAAATATTTATCATCAAAAATGCCTGAAATTGAACAAAGAATAGAAAATGATGAATTAATTCCATTATTTGGTTATGATCTTGTTAAACATTGTTCAAAAAGAAGCGAAAATTTAATAGCTTATCCTATTGAAATATGTATTAGACTTTTAGAAAATAGTTTAAATGAAGAAGGTCTTTTTCGTATTGCACCATCACATGGTAAACAAAAAAAATTAGTTTCAGAAATTAATTTACAAATTATTGATAAAGCATCAACATTAAGTGAACTTAATTATGATCCACATGTTCCTGCAAGTACACTTAAACAATATTTAAGAGAACTTCCGGATTGTTTACTTACAAATGCACTTTTATCACAATGGAATGATGTTATTTCAATCAGGTTTTTTACTTTTTTTTCTTTTTTTCATTCAATAATCACAAACATATTTTCTTTTATTTAAATATAAACAAAAATTAGTCGAAACATTTACAGTGGTTTCAAAAAAAAACTTAAAACAAACATTTGTCTTATATTATCGCCTGAGTTAATCGTCTTGAAAAAAATGTTTCCTTATTTCATATGCAATAGTTCATAGTTTAACAATATCCCGTTCACTATTGTCTTTTCTCTTCTTTTACTTCAAAAACTTAATTATATCTTTTTTTTTTATGCGATTTGCCAAACTA